TGGGCTGGCAGGATACAGCGGGTGTAGCTCGTCCCCCTGCTGGTTGTAGCGCCACACTGCCCGCGGTGCCACCAGACCACAGCGGCTGCGAGGGAGACAGAGGGGAGTGGGACCCAGGTTAGGGAAAAGGAGGAAGGGAGAGCGTGAGGGGATGAGAAGCACTAGGTTTTTGAGTGTGTGTGTGGGTGGGTGGGAGGAAGGGAGGGACTTTGGCTCGGTGTTGTATGCCATCCCGTTCCATGGTGTGACAGTGTGTGACTCACACAGGGGAGGAGCAAGGCGCAGGAGCGTCCTGGGAGACATAGAGGAGTGCAGGGCTGTAGTAGTGCAGCGCGCCTGACAGCACCACCTGCACCTGCTGCTGCCCTGACTCCGCATCGCACTCGTATGAGATGAGAACGGGTGACGGCTGAGTCGTGCCTGTACAGGGCCTGCAGGGAGGAGGGAGCGGAGGGGAGCAGAGAGCGGAGGACAGGGGAAGGTGGGAGAGGGGGAAGCAGAAGATAGGGGAGACGTCAGGTGGGGAGGGTGAAAATGCGGGACGGATTTCTCAGCCCAAGAAGGAGCTTGCGATGAGAGCAAGAGCAAATGAAACCCTTGCCTTTCCACACCCCCCTCCCCCCCCTTACTTCCACCCACCACCCCCCACCAACCCCTCCCCCCCCACCCCCCCCAAAAAAAAAAGCCCTACCGCCACGCCGCGTTGTCTGTCATCCTGACAGCCCACTGTGTGCTGCCCCCAGCAGGCGCCTTGAATCGCACCGTCACCGCGCCTCCACAGCTACCCGCATAGTCCTTGTGCATGCCATCTCCAAAGTACACCTTCAGCTCCCCCGGGAGCCACTCCTCCTTCCCATCCGGCCCCACCACCTCCATCACATACACCTCCCCCACCAGCGCCGTGAACCCAAACACCCGCGTCGAATTCCCATCCTCCCCGACCTCGATGTGATCCGAGTTCCCGTCGAACGTCTGCTGTGCGCCGTCACTCACGCGCAACACGTTGAGAGAACTCATCACGCCGTGGGCCTGTGGGCCGTCGGTGTTGGCGGCAGTGGCGGGTTCGAGGTAGCGCACGTTGACGGTGCGGAAGCAGTGAGCGGGCGAGGGGCACGCGTATGCGTTGGCTCCGGGCATGGGCTTGCATGAGCCGTACGTGCCTGAGGGGGTCAGCGGGGGGAGCACCGCCGTGTTGTTCGCCACTAGGAAGCCTGAGGGTAAGGGAGTGGCTTTCCCTGAGGTGGAGGCGCGACCAGAGGATGGGGAGAAGAGAGAGGAGGAGGAGGAGGGGGGAGGAGGAGGAGCGGGCAGGCGAGCGGGCAGAAGAACCAGACTCTCTAAAGAATGCGAGGGAGTGTTCGGGTGAGCGGGGCCTGAGGTCGTAGTTGCTAGGCAGGCCGCCAGTTTTCTTGAGAGCAGCGATAGTAGCCGCAGCAGAAGCTGCTGTGCCATGCGTGCGAGGAGGATAATCTGAAGCAGCGGCAGCAGCAGCAGCAGCAGAAGCAGCAGAAGCCGTGGCTAGCAGGCGATGGTGGTGCAGAGGGAAAGCTTTCCGTGGCAGGACAAGCCTGCCAAGAGATGCCGGGATAGCACTGTGCCTTGCAGAATCATCACCATCATCAGCAGCAACAGCAGCAGCATCAGCGGCAGCAGCAGCACCAAGCGCAGTGCGAGAAGCAGCAGTGGTGGCAGCAGAAGGGAGTCCTCTCTTGCCAATGGAGGTCTTCCCCAACACCGTGCCCACTATGCTGCCGTCTAAGTCCCTCAACGCTGCCTGTGTCGCTGCCTCCCCATGGTCCTCCGTCTCCGACTGGTTGTACTGCTCAGTGTCAGGGCACACAGGGAAGAGGGACGGGTGGGGGTGGAAAGGGGGGCCAAGAAAAGGGTCAGAGAGGGCGAGGGAGGGAGATGACTGGAACTGGGAATGTTCATACTGACACACACCACACGCGGGAGACAGGAACAGTTAGAGGGGTTGCGGTTTGAGACGTCTGAATTTGTGTATCTGGCTATCGTGCATGCTTGCTTGTACTGTCGAGGGAATGCTCCAGAGAAGGGCAGCAGAAACGTGACAGCGAGACAGGGGCAGAGGGAGAGGGGCAACAATGCCATTACCATTACCAATGTCATTACCATGAACATTGCCATTACCATTACCATTACCATTACCATTGTCATTGCCATTACCGTTACCGTTACCAATACCATTGCCAATGTCATTACCATTACCACTACCATTACCAATTGCAATACCATTACCATTACCATTACCATTACCGTTACCATTACCATTACTAATACCATTACGATTGCGCCATTACCATTAACAGTACAATTACCATTACCAATGCCATTACCATTACCATTGTCATTACCATTACCATTGTCATTACCATTATCATTACAATTACCAATGCTATTACCATTACCAGTGGCATTACCATTACCATTACCATTGCCATTACCATTAACAGTTTCATTACCATTACCAATGTTCTTACCATTAACATTACCATTACCATCGTCATTACCATTAACGGAAGGACTCACTCTGGATGGGTACATCTGAGGCAAGACGATCACTGGGTTGGTCCTCGTTACAGTGCTGAACTTGGCGTTCTGATGATGCGGGGAACAGCAGGAGGAGGAGACGGGGATTGATTGATTCACCCGGAAGGTGACCACTTTATTTGAAGATTCATTAGGTTTGTTGAACACGTGCAAACAGCACCGGTTCAATGGGCGCACGCATAGCTACACTTGATTCTTAGGAGCGACGAATGATGATGAGGGTGCGACTATGATTAGAGAGCAGTAGTAACAAGCGGGGATGAGGCAGTACGAGGCACCTTGAGGCTGTTGCCTGCATTCCAGTACGCCCCCCTGTCCCCGGCCACCGCCACCGCAGCAGACGGCTTGCACGTGCTGTCAAACCCAGCGAACCTGCACAGTGGGTGTGCGGGGGAAGAGATGGGATGGGCCTTGGAGGAGGGCAGGAGATGCGAGTGTAAGTGTGTGGCATGCTAGTGGTGGTGTGCATGCCAGCCCAGGCCACTGCATGGATGCACGGTTGCATGGATGCATGGGTGCATGGATGCATGGGTGCATGGATGCATGGGTGCATGGATGCATGGGTGCATGGATGCATGGGTCCATGGATGCATGGGTGAATTATTGCACGGATGCATGCACTTACTTAGCGCCGTCAACAACGTTGTCAAAGAGCCCATCAGTGAACCATGGGCTCTGCGTCCACACCAGCCCGTACACCGGCTCCTGCAGGCCCCCCCACCCCACACTGCGCCCCTGCTGCCCCGCCACCAATGGGAAGCTGCCATGTGGAGGAGGACAGGGAGCAAAGGCAAGGGTATGAAGACACGGTGGCAGAGAGGAGAGAGAGAGAGAGAGAGAGAGAGAAAGGAAAAATAAACAAACAAACAAGACCAAAACAAAAACATGGAGACAAGCCACCCAACCACTCACTCACTCCTCACTCCCTTCCTAACTCCCTCCCTCCGCCACTTCCTCCTGCACTCACTTGCAGCCTGAGACGGGAGCACAACCCCCAGAGCCCCAGTCCCCGGTGCAGGCCCAGGGGTTGCCGTAGTTGGTGGTCTGCCCCACCACGCGCAGGTTGCGTACGACAGCACCCTCCACCTGATGCAAGTTCACCCCCCACACGTTGTCCGCTGCTGTGAACCCATCAAACACCACGTAGTCCGTGTTGTGTACAAACGCGCTGCAGGGGTGGGGAGGTTGGGGGAGGGGGGACCAAATGGGAGAGAGGGGGCTGAGGAGCAAGTTGCACGTGCTGGGGGGGCAGTGAGGGGGTTGAAAGTCCGTGCAGTGCAGTCCGTGTTGCGTGGTATGACGCGAAACATTACCCAGTGAGGGATTGGTTACGGGACAAGGGGTACATGGCAACATAGGGGTGTGAGACTGGGGGAGGAGAGCAGTATGCATGTTCAATGAAGTTAGTCACTCATTCATGCCATTCTCCTTTCCAATCTTGGGAAGCTTGCGCGTAGGCACGATGCGTTTCCACGGAGGAGGGCCGGGAGAGGGTTAGGAAGGGAGAGAAGGGGGAAATGGAGGGAAAGGGAGCCAAGAAGAGGAAGAAAGTGGGAGCACAGTTGGAGTTACACCACATAGAAGTTGACTCACCCCACGTAGAGGTTCTTGTAGAGAAGGAAGCCCGCGATAGTCACCCACACAGGCTGATCCCACTGCACAGTTAAAAGAACAAGGGAGCACAGGAGCGCACAGTACATGACACACTATAGAGGAGAGCGCAGGAGAGCAAATGGGACACGCAGAAATCAGCAGGTGGCAACAGATGGCAACGCACACAGGTGCCACCGTGCCATCAACAAGCACGCAAGAATGGGAATCGATGCTCGCCTTGAGTTGTCTCAAAATAGCAGATCGCAAAGGCATAGGTGTGGCGACGCACATAGCTTCCATCGGAGAGAGTGGAGGCGTTGAATCGCGGGTTGAAGCCACGAGGGTAGTCACGGAACCCCGTGGCACATGAGTGCGCGATGTTGCCGGCAAACGTGCCCACGCGGTGGTAGTTGATGGGGATCAGCGTGTTGATCAGCGGCCACTGCAATGACAGCCCCCTCACTCGGTCCCGTAGCTCGATCCAGAAGCTGGTTGTATGCACACAGGGAGAGGGGGAGGAAGAGAGAGAGAGGGGTGTAGGGGAGGAGGGAGGGGAGATGGTGATAGGATTGAGCGTGTAATCTTGTGGAGGTTTCACCAACAGCCTCGGCTTCATCCAAAAGGTGATGGCGTGCAGAGGGGAAAAAGAGGGGAAAAGCTGATTGTGTCCAGACAGTGGAGGTGGGAATGACATGGAAGATGAGAGAGGATGCAACATGGAAGAGCCATGGTTGACCAATAAGCTTGCAAAGTGAGAGAAGTGGGGAATATGGTGAATGCCTACCAATCCGTCCTGAAGACAAACCCACCCAACCATGCACGCACGCGGCACGCACCCGGTGTCTTCTGAGCCGGCAGCCACATTCCCGAGGTAGTTGTTGTTGGGGTTGGTGATCCAGAATGTGGATGGCATGTCATCCGTCTCCTCATCCGATATCTTCACCTCCACTGCATGCAGATACAGAGAGAGTCATGCACACATGCGGAGAGTCACTCTACAACAGGTAGACTACATGGAAGGTTACGGGTTGTACGTGGTAATCGTAAAATTGCGTAATGTTTGGACACGTTCGTACACAAAGTTGACTAGGGCATACAATGAGATTCACTAGGAAAAGGAAATCAACAAGCATACATTGGCAGTCGATATAGCAAGGAAGGAGTTGCAAGGGTTCCACCTAGCAAGGCGACTAGCCAGTGCAGCACGAAGGCGGCCCGCCAGCATCGCAGGAAGGCGGCTTGCCAACGCTGCAGCAACGCGGCTTGCCAAAGTTGCAACAAGGCGGCTTGCCAACGCTGCAACAAGGCGGCTTGCCAACACTGCAACAAGGCGGGTTGCCAACGCTGCAGCAAGGCGGGTTGCCAACGCTGCAACAAGGCGGGTTTCTAGCATTGTATCCGCAGGTGAAGTGCGCACAAGTGCATCACCCACTAAGTGGGTGCAGGTCTGCTCAGCAGACAGTTGGGGGTGATTCGAGCACGTGATGCACATTGCGCAGGTGCCAGGTTGTAACGCACGTGATGTCGTTTCGTACACGTGCAGAATCTCCAACCAATCATTTTAGTCGATCAAAGTTGCTCCGCACAGTCCGCGCTGGCCATAAACTGATTCCGTCAGCCGGCGCCTTGTCGACAAACACTTTCGTCGACCAGCAAGGCTCGGCTTCGCTCGTCGACTTCATTTCGTCAATAAGCGCCTTGTCGACTTCACCGTCACTTACGCCATCATCACTTCGAAAGTCAGCCGACATCAACTGATGAATCTCATCGACTAGGCGCTTTGTCGCGCTTCGATAAGCGTCTCGAAGTCAGTCGGCGACCACAAAACGCAGCCGGTTGCACACCTTTGATCACCGGATAGCGAGGTCGACTTCGCTCAAGTGAGGGCGGGGCCTTTTCTTATCAACATGCATACACGTACAAATGCAGAGAGAGTGAGAGTCATGCAGATGTGCTTGTCGCAACACCCATAGATTACACATGCAAGCATGCGTGTCACAACACCATGTGGAATCAGGCCCGCACACCTGGGCGCGTCCAGATGCCGACGTTGCGGATGAATGTGTTGCCTTGCTCGCCGCCCTCCTCCACCATGAAGCAATGCCCTCTCGTGTTGAACGCCACGTTCTCCTCCACCGTCAGATTGAACGTCGCGTGCACCACCACACAGCGCTGGGTGGGAAGGACGGGGGGAGGAGGGACGGGGGAGAGGGAGGGGAAGCATAGGGGTGCAAAGGAGGAAGGGAGCATAGAGTAGGAGGGAAAAAAGAAAATTTGAATCGTGTGCAACACTATCGTTATTCAATTGTCGGATTGGATTTTGCATGCACCACCACAAAGCGCTTGCAAAGATGAGCGTGAGGGGCACCAGAACAGTTGGTGAGGGGACAACGATGGAGGGATGGGTAAGCAGTGGACGTGTGGATCGTGGTGGGGACTTGCACTGACAGAAAGAAGCCAGTACGTGCACAGGCAAGACAAACTCACTTACAGTAAATCAATAAACTAGAACGCAACACACAGCACCCAACACACAGCATGCAAGCCCACCTGCTTGCTGTCATGAATCAAATTCTTCCGCACAACGCTCTTCCCCGCCTGGTCCCCACACAGGTGGAAGTGGATATTATAGCGGCCCAGCTGCCCCTGCTGCCCCATCTGGGCGAACTCGACGCCCTCTATCATCTGTGTGGTCTGAGTAAAGAACACCATGAAGTGCCCGCCCTCCCAGTTGTGCGGGGCTGCCTCGTCCTCCCCTCGGATGGTCACTGTGCGGTTCAGCAGCACCACCTCCCCGCGCTCGTCTATCGTGCCACCAAACCCGTCCGACACCACCTCTCCGAAGTGGTTGAAGGAGAGCGGCGCGCTGAGATTCACACGCCACTTGTTGCCGGGCATCGCCGTCACTGGCTCGAGGAATGGGGAGAGAGAGTGATGGGGACGCAGACTATATTTTTCTTCCAGGTTTTTAAGAGAAGCTGGCACGGGAAAAAGGTGTGGGGAAGGGTGAAGCGGATGAGCTGAAAGAGAGGGAGCCAGGAGAACACACTCTCTCAAGAGGGTAAACGGTGACATGGAAACTGGATGAGAAAAGGACGCAGACTGAAAAGCCAAAGCCATTCTTGATAATCCTCGAAGGAGGACCCCACTCACCATTGACAATGGCGACCACGTCTACTTGGTCGGGATAGAAGTCGGTGGAGGCGAGGCCGATGTAGAACCCCACAGGCCATGCCGTGACGTCCCGGTCCACCAGGATGGCTGTATCGCCCGCCTGTGCTGTCGCTGCCAGTCGGCACCATGCGGGCGTGGAGGAGCCGCCTGGCATGCCGTGCATGCGCACCTGCCCTCCCACCTGGAAAGAGGGGGGTTGGGGGGCGGGAATAGGGATGGGGATAGGGAGCAGCACAGCAGAGGACAGCACCTTGCACCACGCCAAAAATGCAGCAGCAGGAGCACACCCAGCACGGCACTTACGACGACGAAGGCTTTGTGGCCGAAGTTGCGGGGGTTGGCGGGGTCAGCGGGTGCGTTGGCGGTGTACTGGTAGGGCGCGCGGCCGTTGGGGTTGTGCGTCAGCGTGAAGACGACCCGCTGCGAGAAGTGATTGGTGCTGTTGCCCGCGATTAATTGCCCCTCCACGATCACAAACGACGCGTTCACCTGTATCAGCGGCCGCAACGTTGTGTCCCTGATTCTGCCACAGTCAGACACACATGCAGGGTGGAATCAAAGGGGGAATTCAAGATAAAAGACGGAAGACTCCAAGGGGGATTCAAGACAGTGTACGAGATAGTTGGTGCAGAAAAGGCGGGCGAGGAAAAAGGAGATGGGAACGGAGGATGTAGAAGGATGCGGCATGTAAAGACGCACACGTGTAGGTGAACGGACAAACATGCTGGAGCGTCTAGTATGTGTCCCTCATTCAAGAAACCCCCATACACGCTCTTGCTCCATCCACTCCACTCTCTTGTTTCTTTCCCGTTCCACTCCCTCCTCTCCTCCCTTCCTGCCAGTCTCCTCGTTTTGACCATAGTCTTTCTCGCTCCTGCTCACTCCTCCTCTCCACTCCTGCGCTCACTTGAGCATGCCGTGGATGGTGAGGGTGGAGAGGGCGACAGATGGCACGTTGAGCAGCACGGCCACGCCGCACGGGATGGTGGCGTTGCCGCCCACACCCGCCCCCACGCCCGGCACCACTCCTCCGGGCCATATTGTCGGATCGCTCCATAGCTTGAAGCCTGGAAGGGAGAAAAAAGGGGAGGGAGAGGAGAGGGATGAGGTGGGGAAGAGGAGGGAAGAAGCGGGTAAGGGAAAGACAGGGGAAAGGTGAGGGGAAAGACGGGAAGCGAGGAGGGAACGGGAAGGAGCACGGGAAGCGAGGAGTGAGCCAGAGCCATGGCACGGCGAACTTGTACTAAATCTGCCGGCGGGAGAGCGGCGGCAAGGTGCCGTTTCTTCGGGCTGCGGAATTCGCGGAGGCCGCCCCGCTGGATGACAGTCACCGCCGGCGGTGATGCACCGGCCGGGGGAGGACCTGGAAGCGTGCACTTCAAAATGCACCGGCACGGGGGAGGGGGTTTCGGGAGCGGTGTGTTTTAAGTCGATTAAAAACGCACCGGCAGGGGGAGGGTCCGGAAGCGGCGTGCACGGCGAGGTGAAGTTATCCCACGGGACTTGCGGCGTCGCACGCGCCACGGGCAGGACCCCGCGGTTCGGGAAGAGCGCGAGGTGGCAGCACGCGGCGAGGAGCAGCGCTGGGAGCGGAGACAATGCGCGGAAGCGGCGGGAAGAGGCGGAGCGGCGGTGGCTGGTGCGAGAGGGCGGCGGGCGAACGACGGAGGCCATGGTTATGAAAGGGTACCCCGGGTGGTGGTTCTTCTAGGGGCTGCGACGGTGGGGGTACTACTGCGGCGGCGGTTGATAGTGGAACGGTGGAACGGGCGGTGATTGGGATTATATATGGATGGGTGCTATTCGAGGGGGAGCAACCACGGCGCGGTTCGATACGGTGAAAATGGAAGGCTGTTGCGGAGCGGAGGGTGCTATGCCTGCCGGGTTTAGGGTTACCACCACCTGTCAGCAGATGAGGCGGGCGTGGCGTGAATAAAGATGTCACGCAGCACACGCCTACGAAAGTATTCTAATTGTTTAATTCAAGCGGCCATGACAGTGGGCAACGCATGATAACTGACAACTCCCACCCGCGCTGTAGCTGCACCGAGTGTATCGCACACACTTGGGAAACTTGAGGGGTGTGTGCCACTATATAGTGATCGCACGGGTTCTGCGCTCTGGGAGGATGAAACGCCGCGCGCCTCGGTGACGTCACCAACTTTAGCTGAACGCTTTTCTGTTGACTCGGTCAGCACGCAAGCTAGCCGTACATATTCATATTCATCAATATCAGCTAGTGCGTATCCTACTTCCATGTGCTCATGCTGCCGTGAGTGAACCGGAGCGCGATGCGAATTGGGAAAGGGAGCAACAGGGGAGGGGAGGGAGGTAGGGGTGAGTTCGGTTCGGAGGGAGGGAGACAGGCTAACACTCGCGCCGCTTTCCTGGGGTGTTCGCTCAGGCTGGGATGGCCAAGGTGAGGGGTACGACAGGCTTGTCAGGGTTCATATGCCCGAAAGAACAAGAGCACTGCCAGAAGGGCAAATGAACCCAGGCAAGCCTGTCGTACTCGTACGGACGGACGTAACGGTGATCTCCTCTCCACCGAAACAAGGCCTGCTTGTTGTACTGTTCTGACGGGAATGAAGCCACAGGCCAGGGACGGTTTCGCGACTGAGTTTCAAGGCTCATACCCTTCCTACATTTAAAAATAAAGACTACTCGATTCCGTTTTCCAGGCCTGACTAAACGTCGCCGCTTACAGATTTCTGATGTGTTTTGATAAAACGTTGCAGCGCAGAAAAATTCCACGGTGTGCTGAAACTTTTGCCTTCAAAGAACAAAGGTGCCATAAAGGCCAAAAAATACAGTATCGTCAACGTAAATCAACGAGCCTCACCGACATTCGAATGTTCGCACTGAACAACGACATCCCTCAACGAAACGTAGAGGGATTTCGGACGCATTCCAGCCCTCCGATGTAGGGGTTACCAGAACTTTGACGGCTGTCATCTCTCGACCCTCACTACATCTCTCAAAAAATGTGGACTACAGGCTTCAACACCCCCAGCGCGGCACCTTGTCGTTCGGCATTCGCTTCGGGGTTTCCGAACCTCGCTGCCAGATCTGCACAGCCAAACTCAGTTTCGTTATTTCGAGTACACCCGTGCCTACATCCCTTGTCCCTTCAATGAAATCATACGGTAGTTTGTTGGTTAAATTGCCCATCTGACAACATCACTCTAACATTGTCAAATGACATCACTAGAACACACTTTCAGAAAAGAATATAGGTACACAATCATACATAGAAAAATCAAGTCAGTTTCTCATACAGCAACAAATCTGCTGTTGAATCTAGTGGAAAATCAGACTCTGGAATCTAATACATGCACACTTGTATTTCCTCTAGTCATACTTTCCAACAATTGGTCTGGCCGGACTTCAGGCTGTATTCTTCCAGTGACACTTACACCCGAACTCCCATAGCTCCTAGCGTCTCGTTCTCCGTAGAACGTCGAAGGCTTAAACAAATCGCAATTGAGCCCCTGGATGTTTGGAAGAGAAGTGGGACCTTGAGGAAAAAGAGCTGCAGTCCCCATCTGAGACATAGTCCCCACAGGATTGGCAAACACTCCAGACTGGTGGAGGTGGGGTTGTGGCGGGTCTATGGAGGGTAATTGGAGTGAGGTTGGAAAGGCTGGCCTATCAGGAGCAGTGGGCATGCGTGCAGCAGACAGGTGTACAAGGAGCACTTCCAAGTCCGAAAGAGCTGAAGGCGCAGCTGAAATTGCTGGCTTGTGAATGGTGGGCACTGGTGGGACTGGCTGGACTGGCTCGTCCTTCCTGCTGTTACCATGAAAAGGCATCCCTTCCTTCTTGATGCTGCTGCTGCCTCCACTGCCATAAATGCTGCCGCTGATCCCATCTGTTGTTCCTGGAGCTGCCTTGTTGAACTCGTGCTTCGGCGCAGAGCCTTGGCGGAGCAACGGCGAATCGCCATGCTGCATCAGAAGCTGCTGATGCTGCAGATACTGGGTCGATCCACCCGCAAAGTGATTTCCTATATTCAGTGTGTTCTGCTGCTGTTTTGTCACTAGCGGCGCGGCAGACGGCACAAGATGGGCGTGAGGCAGGGGGCTGGAGGGTCGCGCACGCAGTGGATTCTCTGTCATGTTGGCAGCAAATTGAGTTGCTGGCAGCGGGCTCCACTGCAGCATGCCTGGCTGCGGCGAGGGCATACCAGCCGACATGGAACTCATGCTCCCCCCACCGTTACTTCCCGGTGAAGGCTGCGGCAACGCGAATTGCACATTCGGAAAGGATACGGAGCGAGGGATGAGCGGTTGAAGAGAGGGGCGCAGCGGCGAGGAGGAATCATGAGGGAGAGGTGGAGCTGTAGATGACCCTGAGTTGCCGCTGATGCCACTGCCAGCTGACCCATGGCTGTCTGCTGGATCCGGAACCACATTTGCGGCAGTTGCTGGGGCAGATAGCACTGCAGAGCCGTGGGATTTCTTCTGTCGCATGAACTTTCTGCACAACAGCAGCAGCAGCAAACGTGGATCATCAGGCGGCATGAAAGGGAATGGCTGGAACCAATTCTCAGCGGTAGACTAGAACACACACACACACACACACACACACACACACACACACACACACACACACACACACACACACACACACACACACACAGCAGCAGCAGCAGCAGCAGCAGCAGCAGCAGCAGCAGCAGGCCAGCATGGAGTCTGCATGTACAAGTAGTAGCCGTAGTAGCATACCTCCTGAGAAGGATGAAGCGGTTGCAGCATGCCTTGTTATCGCGGCCAGGGAGCGTTCCACTGCGTTGCAGCAGGCCCCACTGGGTTGTGCCGTGCTCCATCACGTGGTCCAGGAGAATGGAGTCCTCCTGCAAGGGAAAGGGGGAAGGGAGAGAACGAGGACGGATAGGGGGGAAAGCAGAAGCGAGGGTGGGGTCAAGGTGGGGATTCGGTGGGGAAAAGGTAGGGAGACGGGGGGGTGAAGGTGGTGAAAAGGTGGGGGGAGGTGGAGTTGGTGGCATGAAAACCGTTGGTCACACTGGAGCTGTCCCGTGCTTATGTTCTGGTGAACCGTGCAAAGACAATACAATGAGCGCGCCTACTATGGGAAGAGGACCCAGGAGTTCCCCCTCACAGCTGAAGAACTTGTCAAGCCTATTATTGACCTTGGAAAGGATACAACAGAGCATGATGAAGGGAATAAGGGAGGCAAATGCTAGTCACATCCAACCAATACGCCAGTACTAGTATTACCTCGGGACGCCATCTAGACAAGTATTGGGGTCGCGAGTGCGCTCTGCGGGCCTTAACCACGCAGTTCATGCTGGGAGCCATGGATTCGCCGCTTGTCACCATCGTTCGATGATTGCAGAGCTAAGAAAATTTGGCACTTGGACTTTCTGGCAACCTCCGATGGGTGTGACGTCTGTAGTACTAACAGTGACTCAAATCCCAACCACTGGTTCCAGCGTTGAAGATCAGCGGTGGAGAAAATCGTGCGTGACCTAAGTGATACATTGTCACATGGGGTTTGCTTTGTACGCCCGAGCAGTGCACTGGAAGAACAATACAGTCGATGCCCAACCAGTGCACGCGAAATTGCCCTTCACCCGGCAGAAACTCTGCCCCCGTGGTTTTTTTTCCCTGATGTTGCACCCTGGGTACAGTCCCCTGACACCACTTGTCCACAGTGCGTGAATGCGCCCAAAAATGAACCAGCCTCACAAAACAGACCCCGCCGACCCTCGGACGCTCCAGTTACAAGCCAGGGCGAAGATGCTCGAACTCAATGGACGAGCTTCGCAAAACGTTCGCGCATCTCCAGGTGAGTTCAGGTTTGCCACGTCAGAACGTGTACGTGCCCTTAACACATTGTGACGAGAATCACATTGCCACCTGGTACGTGCACCTGCACGGTACAAACCCCTCTACAGCCGCACGTTGGGGGGTCGTGACACGTCATTTCCTCTGCAGGTGTTCACATTGACGCACTAACCTATGAACACCATCCCCGTTCATCAGCACCCCGGTTTCCCTCACAAACCTGGAAAAACACATGCACTCGCTAAACTCTAACGAATCAAAACACCATAAAGAGTGTCCAGATTTTCAAATCCACTCATTCTTCCAGCCCCACCTCTTACACAACATGCCCCGTCTTTACCACCGAGCACAGCTCGGTCTGCCTATCAAGCGCGCAATATGCGCCCACCACGTCGAGCACCCCCAGCTCCGCCACGTCGACCTCGCTAGGTGGTGTTTCACGCGCTTCGGCATCCGTCCCGACCGCTCTACCGTAGGGCGCTTTTTGAAAAGTGCTGACCGCTGGCGCCGGGACGACAACAATGACAACGCCGTCCGTGTGCGAGGGCGGGCCCCGCTGGAGTGCCTCTCACCCTCGCCACTATTCGAGACCACGTGGCGCACATGGCCCGCGAGAATGGCGCACCCCGACGTTTCGTTGCTCCATCGGATGGGTGCGCCGCGCCTTACGCCGCCAGGGCGTGCGATGCATGAGCGCGGTAGGTGAGGCGGCCGATCAGGACATGACCGCCGTCCGCACCACTCAGGAGAAACTCCCGCAGCTTCTTATGCATTTGGGAGTGAGGCCGCGGGACACGTTCAACTTCGACGAGACGGCACTCTACATCTCCGTCCTGCCGCGGAAGACCTACGGAAAGGGCCGTATTGCGGGAAGGAAGAACGGCAAAGAGCGTCTCACCGTGGGATTTCTCGTCAACGCCGACGGCACCACGGTGTTTCGTCCGCTCGTGATCTCCAAGGCGCGCCGCCCTCACGACTTCCGCCCCGACTATGACCCCGAGGAGTTGTGCTACTGGCGCAACACCGCTAAGGGCTGGATGACGACCTCGGTAGGTAGCGCCATAGCTGAATTAATAGGCCGCTTTAAGTAAGCGTTAGTGTGTGGGATATATGTTTATGCCGAATTGCTATTCTCGTTACTCATTTCCCCCCCCCCCCCCCCCCCCCACCCCCCTCCAACCGGTCCCGACAGCTCTTCACGCACTTTATCGAGCAGCTTGATGCCGCGATGTTTGCCGAGGGGAGGCAGATTGTGATACTGCTGGATAACGCCAGCAGTCACACGCTCACGACCGACGGCAGTTCTCGGGCATGTGGACGGCGGACGGCGCGACTTCGGCCGTGGCTCGCTACAGGCCGAATCTCCGCGATGTCATCGCGTGGCTGAGCGACGCGTGGATGAACATCCCGCCGCGCACGATCCAGCGGTGCTGGTGGCGCACGGGGTGCCTTCCACGGGTCTGGGCCATGGAATTGGCGCACGTGGGTGAAGAGGCAATCCGCGACCCCGCCACCGTGGCGGACATCGGCCTCGATGGGGAGGTCAACGGAGTCGGCCTCCTCATCGACCGACTGTGCCTCGGCTCCAGCGCAATGGCACCGGCCGATTTCGTCGCGGTGGACGACAATCAGCCGACATGTGCGGAGCCGGTGGATGATCCTCTCGCCCAGGAGCCGACGCCTGCGCCGACGCACGACACGTGGGCGCCTCCCTCGACGATGCAGGAGGTCTACGACGACGCCAACCCGGCGTCGCGCGAAGCGCGGCGCACTGCCCGTTTGGCCTGCGAGATGCTCATCGGGTACGCCAAGGCGACCTGCGTCACTCCGCGAGACTTGTGCGCGCTCTTTGACATCCGCAACCCCATCATCCGGGAGAGGATGGAGCGCGCAAGCCCGCCTTTGAACCTCAACTCGACCCCACCTCCCGCCATTACGGCTGCATCCACCCCGGAACCTGAGACCCGCCGTCCTCGTGGGCGAGTCCTTCCCGCGTGGATGACGGTGCCCACGGCGGACTGGATTGCCCAGACCGCACGGCGCCAGGAGCTCATCGACAGCGGCGTGCCGGCCGTCATGAGCGGCTACGTCGCCGCAGCGGAACGGATGCGCCCCGAATCTCAATGTGGCACCTCTGAAGTTGAGTGGGGCTTGTTCGTCTGGCATTTGTGCACGACTCGTGCACATTTCGAGAGTGACGAAATGTGTTTGTGAGATGTAATGCATCTAAGGCACGTGGGGTTGCGGGATTGGGTGGGTGTGGGAGTATGCTTATTTGTGACTTGATGAGCTGTATGTTGTACTCGTGTATTAGTGATGGGGCGAAAACGGGGTAACTCTAGCTAAAGCACTAACAACAAACAAAGCTCACCAATACTGTTGAAGAAAAGACAAGCCTGTTACATATCCAGTTGTTTATAAGCACCCTATATCGGTGGCGAAATGGGCGAACCCGCCGAATTGACATAAACGCTTATAAGCCCTCATGACATCCCAAAGTTGGGGGACTCAAACGAGCATTAGCTGTACACTGCTGAGTCGACCACGTGGACCTATGACGCACTGTTGCCGTTGCTTGAGAGGCAGATGCACCAGGTGCGGTGTGGGCAAAGTACTGCAGCGAGGGATGTGCAGCAGGAATGTTGCGATAATATTGGGCTCGATAGGTTTTCGAGTGGTTATCAAACAGTGACTAGTTTTGTGCAGCCCGCAATACACGCGAAGCACCCGCGCGGAGGAGCGAGCGTAGCCACGTGAAACGTACCTACACGTCAGGGGATGGTCCATGGAAGCTACTAGGCTGTTGTGGTGTAGGCAAAGCAGGGAGGGGGCTCCCTAAGTATGTGGCTGATATCGAGGTTGCATTTGACCTAAGTTTTGACTCCAAAGCATTGTGCCCTTGGGTTCATTGAACAACTGACCCAGAGCATGCACTTGGAATGAGCAAATTGCCCACCAGATCCCACTTGGTGATGTTTTTGCAATACACCCAACTCACATGATCGTAGGGAGAGTTGCCTCGTGACCTTTGCAAACTAGTGTAATAGAAATCTCATGCAAACGTATTTGTTCGGAACAAAACGGAGGGTGAATGGGTACCTTCCAGGCGAATTTCGCCTTCGAACATCACTACTCACACACAAGAGGAAGATGGATAGGCAGAGCGTCTAGTCCGCATACCCTCGCGTATGTAGTTTTCCAGAGGAGACCTGACCGGTGCTTGAGCATAGCGGGCGGCACGCCCCCTCGGAAACGACACACCCCATACAAGGAGCACAACGATCCAGTGGGATTTCAGGTGACAAACTCAAGATAACCTTTCGCAACGAACAACTGAGATGTTTTGGCTAGTTGCCATGCATTATGAATACAATGCCCGCTTCACAAAGGTTTTTACGCCGTTTGAACCTTGATATAGTTTTCCAATGCTCGCCAATGAACCCATTCTAGAGTTCCAAAGAAACCAAAAGTTTCCTTAGCGTCACTTCCTTCGTGTCAACAGTGCCGAGAACGTTCGGCACTCATTACCTACATCCCCACCAAACCGAATTGTGGCTGGGAAACGTGGATGTACTGTACCCCCGTGGACAGTTCTCTCAGACTTCCACTGCCAATTTGCCAAGAGAGTGTAGTCAAGCAAACGATTCCGTATAAACAGTACTTCAAATTGCAGTTCCGGTTAACCAAACTGTAACAACTTGAAAGGGTTCTTATCCAAGCATACCGGTACAAAACATGTTTTCTCAATCAAGGTGATTATAAGAATATGTTGGCTTCTCTTCACCTTTGCCATTGCTCCAAAGGGAGCAGCTGAGATATGAGTTTTACATAGCAAGGTAGTAGCTCGTGAAAGGCCAAGTCCTTATAAAATCCATCACTTTAAACAAGCAACTAAGCAATGGAGTAGGTAGAAGCCTGCCAACCACGCTATAAGGACATGTGCAGTGGCATACAATTGACAGAATCATTGAGGGGCCTAACGTCAAGGGGCCTAACGTCAGAGGGGCTAACATTAAGGGGCCTGCTAAGCTGCGTTGGGGCTAACGTACGTAGGAATGCGTAGCCAAACTCCAGCAATGTAAATCCAGCAAAGCAACTGTTGGAAACAGTAAATCTTAAGCGCTTCAGTCGTGTCGAAACATCGCACCAGAAGCGAAGCAAGCAGTACCGAAACAAACGCGAGTCAACCCTCGGAGGTTGAGAGGTTGCTGGAGGTTACGCGAAAGTCAAAGGTCAAGCGACCTTTGACCTGACAAATACAGCGCGACAGTTAAGGACACACAACTGACTCGTTACAGAGCAGTTGCCCGAGTCGTACTGTATCGAACCGCAACAGCAACAGTAAAGTAGTTACAAACTGCATCCTTTCATATTCCCTGTATTACTATATAATCTTGTACTTCCTTGCTATAATCAATCTACTTTGCCCTCACATACCAGCGCAAGGTGGTTCACAATCTTTCGTTAAAGCTTCCGCTACTACAACACTATCCTACCCAGAGTTCTCCCTTGAAAAGATCCTAAGGGGCTATCTCAGCCCAACATGGTATGAGAGCAAGCTGGGGAAACTCTACTACCTTCAAATCATTACAAGACATGGCAACAAGCAAGGAAAGGAGCTCCTCTAACGACTCCCCAGGCACTACCCCTACTCCACCTCCTGCCTCTGGCCTGCAGACAGAGGAAGGCACGACAACAAGACCAAGGGTGACATCTACTGAGACTCCCACAAACCACCCCGCCAATTTCGACCAGAGCATGATGGAGAAATTTTTCTCCTTCATGTCCTTCTACGAGCAGCACCAGCAATCGGGACCTGCACAGACACACAACAGCAACAACGGAGCGACGCCCATGAGCCTCGACGGGTCGTCATATGCGCGCGGAAACCAACAGCAGCAACCTACCTTCGCCCCGTACGAGCGCGGGTCGATCAGCTTCATGCCGCAACCTTCACCTGCACAAGACAAACCACTGGACGCGTTACAAGTGCAATCACAGTTCGCGCACGTTCTAAAACTGCAGACATCAAGACCTTTCGACGGAAAGGACTTCTTCACCTGGTCATTTGAGTTTGAGTTGATGATGGAAGGCGCGCAGATACTCGGCTTCTTCGACGGGTCCCTGCAATATCCAGCAAACGGGACGCAGTACGAGAAACAAAAGTACACATATCAGTCGATGATGGCGTATACGATTCTACTGAGGAACGTCACACCAACTCAGCAGCAGAACATTCGGTCTTACCGGGCCTTCGGCAACTCGGCGGAACTCGCGTACAGCCACCTGAAGAGCCTGTATCAAGCAACAGACAGCGTAAACCAGAGCAGGTTAATGGCGCAGCTGACAACAGTTGAGATGAAACCAGGAGAAAAGGGGATGGCGTATATCAGCCGATGTCGCGAATTGCGCGACAAGCTTCTTCGATGTGGAGGGTCAATCTCCGAGGACGCCTTCGTGACGGTCATCATTGGTGGTCTTGGTCCTCAATGGCGCGCCACCAAAGCAATTCTTCGAGCCCACGGGAGAATCTCTGAAGCAGCACTCTGCGCCGAAATCCACGCCGAGCAGCAGGACATGGACCTGCAAGAAGAACGACACAGGAAGAAGACAACAGTGTTAAACTGTATTATGCTTGTAGGCTGTAGTGGGGTAGCCAATATGGGGTACAACCCCAACTAGGGTTTCATATTTGTACCCAAACTTCTGTTAGTTCATCCATTCTTGCCTAGTGATTCTGACATGGTATTCAGAGCAGGAGGTCCCTAGGACCTACCGACCGTTTTTTTAGGGCCCACCACCGCTCGCATGCGGTTACCACGCTACCCCGTGCCCTAGCCTCGTAGCGCCCTCGTGCGCCCTCGTTAGCGCCCTCGCGCGCCCCTCGTTAGCGCCCTCGCGCGCACCCTCGTTAGCGCCCTCGCGCGCCCCTTCGTTAGCGCCCTCGCGCGCCCCTTCGTTAGCGCCCTCGCGCGCCCCTTGCTAGCGCCCTCGCGCGCCCCTCACTAGCGCCCTCGCGCGCCCCTCGCCGAGCCGCCCGCTCGCAGCTCGCCTGCCCGCTCGCTGCCCGCTTCGCGGCCCGCTCGCTACGCAGCCCGCCCGCCCGCTCGCTGCCCGCTTCGCGGCCCGCCCGCTTCGCAGCCCGCTCGCTCGCTGCCCGCTTCGCGGCCCGCCCGCTTCGCAGCCCGCTCGCTCGCTGCCCGCTTCGCGGCCCGCCCACTTCGCAGCCCGCCCGCCCGCTCGCTGCCCGCTTCGCGGCCCGCCCGCCTCGCAGCCCGCTCGCCCCGCTGCCCGCTTCGCGGCCCGCCCACTTCGCAGCCCGCCCGCCCGCTAGCTGCCCACTTCGCGGCCCGCCCGCTTCGCAGCCCGCTCGCCCCGCTGCCCGCTTCGCAGCCCGCCCGCCCGCCCGCTGCCCGCTTCGCGGCCCGCCCGCCTCGCAGCCCGCTCGCCCCGCTGCCCGCTTCGCAGCCCGCCCACTTCGCAGCCCGCCCGCCCGCTAGCTGCCCGCTTCGCGGCCCGCCCGTTTCGCTGCCCGCTCGCAGCGCCGCCCGCTCGCCCGCTACCTGCTTCGCAGCGCCGCCCGCTGCCTGTGCACTGCCGCTTTCTCCTGTCCCCTCTGCTGCTGCCGCTGCTCTGCTGTGCCCTCACGCCTGAGCTATGGCCTCTATTCGCGTTCTTTCCTTCGATGCTGAGGGCCGTCCCGTGCAGTTCACTTCCTGGCTCGACGACCTGCAGTTGTATCTTATGAGCAATAGCACGGACCACATCTCCCTCTATGACTACGCGTCTGGTGCTGCCGCTGCTCCTGCTGCCACAGCCGAGCTTAGTGTTCGTTCCCACTGGCAGACTCGTGACGCAGCTGCTCGCCTAGCCATTCGCAGTCACCTGCCGCTAGCTGAGCTCGAGCATTTTGGCGACTGCAAATCCGCTAAGGCCCTGTACGATGCTGTCGTTGCTCGCTACTCCTCGCCTGCCACAGCCGAGCTTAGCCGCCTCATGCTGCCGTACCTGTTCCCCGATCTGTCCACCTTTACTACAGTCGCCGATCTTATCACCCACCTTCGCACTAGTGATGCTCGCCTGCGTGCCGCCCTTCCCACCGAGTTCTGCGCTAAGAACCCCCCTCCACTGTACTGGACACTCCACTTCATAGTCACCCGTCTCCCTGACACCCTCCGCTCAGTTCGAGACCACTTCCTTGCTCGCTGTCCCAC